TCTTCAGATATGCACTGTGGCTCTCTGATACTTGGTATAAATTCTTTATTTAAAGGTCTTATTGCAGCTTCATAACCAAATAGCCATATACACCATGGTTCTGCCATTCTCTAAAGACTGCAGCTTCTCAGATCCACATGCAGCATGGTATCCTCGTTACTGTGTGTTTGTGGTTTGGATAAAAGTGGGGTGTTTATAACTAATCATTTATTCCAGGGATGAAATAGTTGTATTTGCTCTGAGGGCCATTTCACAAGTAAACTACAAGTGACTTGAAAAGGAATAACTTACATTGTTCAGTCTACTCCTCTGTGCAGTCAGTGTGCAAACTGCCTGGCTATGTGAATTCTACATATCTTTCGACTATGTCATAGATTCAAATGCATAATCTACTCACTTAATCCATCACTCCTGAGCATTCTGTGGATTTCTGATGCACTTTCAAATATTTTTATCTCCTTTGTGCCAGTTCTTTTAAGCAGAACTCATTTGTTTCAATGGGGAGTCCTGCATAAAAACCAGGGCCCAACATGGTCGTATGAGTAGATCACAACAATCCACCATTTTTTCATATACCATAGATATGATATTAATTATGTTCATCATTTTGTATTTTTGTTTGGAATAGTATGTGTGAGAGAACACAGCAGCACAGAAATTACTTACAAGATAGGTACACAATGTTTGATGGCATGCAACATGTGAAATAAAAGATACGCCAGATGCTGCCTTTCAACTTCTATTTTATGCCACAAGCTCAAAAGCTGATGCTTGGAATACCTTCCACGTCAGTGATAAGCAGGCTAGTTGCCAAACAATAAGGCAAAATGTTGTCTCTTGTATTGGGTAGTATATTTTATAGGTGATCTGTGTATATTTTGTGGCTGTAATGGTCACAGTGAGCTTATGAGAACTGTAGCAATTTTACATTTTAAACTATAACTTGATCACACATATTGTATAGCAATTAAACTCTTTTCAGCACAACATTCTTTACTCTCTCATAATTCCAGCCACAGTTTCTAGGCTGATTTATTTTACGGTGGCAAATAAATTACTAGGAATCTGTTGGGAAAATAACACAGCAGTGCACAGATCATCCAATAAGTTCTTGGAATGTATTGGAGACAATTTTTTATTTCAAAAGGTGGAGAAAGCTACCAGGGGGAGTGGCTGTTCTAGATTTGATTCTGATAAATAGGGAGAAACTGGTTGAGAATTTGAAAGTGGAAGGCAGCTTGGGTGAAAGTGATCATGAAATGATAAGAATTCATGATTCTAAGGAGTCATCGGAGGGAGAACAGCAAAATAAAGACAATAGATTTAAAGAAGGCAGACTTTAGTAAACTCAGGGAGTTGGTAGGTAAGATCCCATGGGAAGCAAGTCTAAGGGGAAAAACAATAGAAGACAGTTGGCATTTTTCAAAGAGACATTATTAAGGGCACAAGAGCAAACAATCCCACTGGGTAGGAAAGATTAGGAAGTATGGCAAGAGACCAGCCTGGCTTAACAAGGAGATCTTCAATGATCTAAAAATCAAAAAAGAGTCCTACAAAAAGTGGAAACTAGGTCAAATTACATAGGATGAATAGAAACAAATAACACAAGTATGTAGGGACAAAATTAGAAAGGCCAAGGCACAAAATGAGATCAAATTAGCTAGAGACATAAAGGTTAACAGAAAAAAAATTCTACAAAAACATTAGAAGCAAGAGGAAGACCAACGACAGGATAGGCCCATTATTCAATGGGGGAAGGGGGAAATAATAACATGAAATGACAGACGTGCTTAATGACTTCTTTGTTTCAGTTTTCACCAAGAAGGTTGATGGTTATTGGACTTCTAACATAGTGAATGCCAATGAAAATGAGGTAGAATCAGAAGAGGCTAAAATAGGGAAAGAACAAGTTAAAAATTACTTGGACAAATTAGATGTTTTCAAGTCACCAGGGCCTGATGAAATGCATCCTGGAATACTGAAGGAGCTGACTGAGGAGATATCTGAGCCATTAGCGATTATCTCTGAAAAGTCATGGAAAACAGAAGAGATTCCAGAGGACTGGAAAAGGTCAAATATAGTGATAATCTATAAAAAGGGAAATAAGGACAACTCGGGGAATTACAGACCAGTCAGCTTAACTTCTGTACCCGGAAAGATATTGGAGCAAATAATTAAGCAATCAATTTGCTTTCTAGAAGAAAATAAGGTGATAAATAACAGCCAGCATGGATTTGTCAAAAACAAATCGTGTCAAACCAACCTGATAGCTTTTTTGGACAGGGTAACAAGCCTTGTGTATAGGGGGGAAGTGGTAGATGTGGTATATCTTGATTTTAGTAAAGCTTTTGATACTGTTCCGTATGACCTTCTCATAAATAAACTAGGGAAATGAAACCTAGATGGAGCTACTATAAGGTGGGTGCAAAACTGGTTGGAAAACTGTTCCCAGAGAGTAATCAGTGGTTCACAGTCATGCTGGATGGGCATAACGAGTGGGGTCCCGCAGGGATCAGTTCTGGGTCCAGTTCTGTTCAATATCTTCATCGATGATTTAGATAATGGCATACAGAATATACTTAGAAAGTTTGCAGACGATACCAAGCTGAGGGGTTGCAAGTGCTTTGGAGGATAGGATTAAAATTCAAAAAGATCTGGACAAAGTGGATAAATGGTCTGGTGTAAATAGGATGAAATTCAGTAAGGACAAATGCAAAGTACTCCATTTAGGACAGAACAATCAGTTGTACAGATACAAAATGGGAAATGACTGCCTAGGAAGGAGTACTGTGGAAAGGGATCTGGGGGTCATAGCGGACCACAAGCTAAATATGAGTCAACAGTGTAATGCTGTTGCAAAAAAAGCAAGCATCATTCTGGCATGTATTAGCAGGAGTGTTGTAAGCAAGACACAAGAAGTAATTCTTCCGCTCTACTCCTCTCTGATTAGGCCTCAACTGGAGTATTGTGTCCAGTTCTGGGCACCACATTTCAGGAAGGATGTGGACAAGTTGGAGAGAGTCCAGAGAAGAGCAACAAAAATGATTAAAGGTCTAGAAAACATGACCTATGAGGGAAGATTGAAAAAATTGGGTTTGTTTAGTCTGGAAAAGAGAAGACTGAGAGGGGACATGATAACAGTTTTCAAGTATGTAAAAGGTTGTTACAAGGAGGAGGAAGAAAATTTGCTTTTCTTAACCTTGGAGGATAGGACAAGAAGCAATGGGCTTAAATTTCAGCAAGGGATGTTTAGGATGGACATTAGGAAAAACTTCCTGTCAGAGTGGATAAGCACTGGAATAAATTGCATAGGGAGGTTGTGGAATCTCCATCATTGGAGATTTTTAAGAGTAGGTTAGACAAACACCTGTCAGGGATGGTTTAGATAATTAGTCCTGCCACGAGTGCATGTAACTGGACAAAATGACCTCTCCAGGTCCCTTCCAGTTCTATGATTCTGGAATGGATGGTGAGAATGAGGTAGAAGATGAACTTCAGACAACTATACATGGAGACACAAAGCTGCAGTTCAGGAAAACCATAACCTCTGAAAATCAGAGAGCTGATTTTACTAAGAGTTCTGTTGTACTAGACGTGCTCTTCTCTACAGTAATTTCAGTTCAAGTGCCAGATATTTCTAAGTATGTTCTTTGTGTGTTGATGTATAATTCCTCCTATCAAGAAATTAAATATGAAGGGATCAAATATCAGTTAGAGCGTATAACAACAATTTCTTTCAGTTAAATGTCTGACTTCCCTTTGTGTGTATTCTTTGTCTATTGTTGGTATGGTGGCTTCTCATCTACAGTTCCCGCCAGTCAGAACATCTTTCTAGTATTTCTTGTCCTCTTTGATTCTCCTCTCTTTTCTCCATTGTCTATGCCTCTTGTTTTCTTTCTCCCTGTACTGTTGTTTAAAATTTAGCAGCAAAACAGTTTATTTAGCTCATGTAGCTGTTAGAGATGCTGCCTGTATGAAAGACCCTATACGATATAAATTTGCACAAGTAAATGTTATATACAGTACAAACATGATTTTCCAAAGATCTCAGATGGGGACAACCATACTCTTTGACTAAGGAAGGGTTTGGACAATTGGATGAGCTAGCTCAGCAGATTCTGAAGTTGGCATTCAGGCTCAGAAGATCCCAAGTCAAACTTCCAAGCCTGCTGAGCTAGTTCTCCAGCTGGCTGATTCACTCAGCAGGGCTTCGGGCTTTATGTGGTGAAAAAAATCTGAATGCATCAAGACTTGTGCTTCAAGGTCTGTCTTGGCAGTTAAGTTCCTGAATGAGCCAGGGCACTGTCACTCTATCCATGGTAGTGAACTGCAGCAAGTATCTACTGAGTGGTGAAAAGAACAGGAGTACTTGTGGCACCTTAGAGACTAACAAATTTATTAGAGCATAAGCTTTCGTGGACGACAGCCCACTTCTTTGGATGCATATAGAGTGGAACATATATTGAGGAGATATATATACACACACACGTAGAGAGCATGAACAGGTGGGAGTTGTCTTACCAACTCTGAGAGGCCAATTAAGTAAGAGAAAAAAACTTTTGAATTGATAATCAAGATAGCCCAGTACAGACAGTTTGATAAAAAGTGTGAGAATACTTACAAGGGGAGATAGATTCAATGTTTGTAATGGCTCAGCCATTTCCAGTCCTTGTTCAATCCTGAGTTGATTGTATCTAGTTTGCATATCAATTCCAGCTCAGCAGTCTCTCGTTGGAGTCTGTTTTTGAAGTTTTTCTGTTGTAAGATAGCCACCCAGAGGTCTGTCATTGAATGGCCAGACAGGTTAAAGTGTTCTCCCACTGGTTTTTGAGTATTATGATTCCTGATGTCAGATTTGTGTCCATTAATTCTTTTGTGTAGAGACTGTCCGGTTTGGCCAATGTACATGGCAGTGGGGCATTGCTGGCACATGATGGCATATATCACATTGGTAGATGTGCAGGTGAATGAGCCCCTGATGGTATGGCTGATGTTATTAGGTCCTATGATGATGTCACTTGAATAGATATGTGGACAGAGTTGGCATCGGGCTTTGTTACAAGGATAGGTTCCTGGATCAGTGTTTTTGTTCAGTGATGTGTGGTTGCTGGTTACTGAGTGGTGATCACTGAGGTGGGAAGTAGTAGTCACCATTCACAAAACCTCATTTACCTGACACCCTGGGGGGACATAATCCTATTTTAAATACCAGGCCAGCTGGGAAAACTGATGTTTGGGTAATAGATAACTGGATCTATATTTCCATGGTGGTGACATAGAAGAGGAGGGAAGGAAATAATTTTGACAATACAGAATATTAACTATAAAGGACTAGCGATGGCCTAACAATGCAGGACGTGGCAGATGAATTGCCAGTTGGTGCCTTTGAAACTCTTGATTTATGCTGGTCATTTTGGTAGAGTAATTAACCAAAAGGTAGCATAGTATAAGTGTATTCATTAGGAACTTTCATCTTATTTTTCAGTCACATTTCACTCCCTTTTGTGATATTTTCATCCTTTTATAGAGTCTGAGATAAAAACTAGGGTAAGGTACAGTTATCAATAACTTCAGGGATGTTGTAAATATCCCCAATCCAATCATTACAAATTTAGGAGATTCAGAGCTCAAGTTACACTTAAAAGAATTTCAAATATAATAACGTATGGAAATGCATAGTTAAAGCACCAAAACACCCTTAATTTGATCCTGCAGTGATGTCATATAATAAGAATACAATTGTGATTAGTGCATAATAAATCTTGTAGTCTCAGATTTGATTACAACTGGATTTTAAAGACACAGTAAAGATTCGTTTTGACAGGAGGTGTGCACAGTGTCACTACAGGGCAGAGTTAAGGGTGTTTGTGTGCATTCCCATGCTTCTATAAGATAATTGAGGAGAGAAGCCCAAGCAAAAGTAGGGAGCATGACAGTCTGTAGGAAGAAATGAAGTATAGGTGGGATGGAACTGATGGGGAGGAGGAGACATGCAGAAGAAGATGGAAAGCCAGTACAGAGATGTGCTCAGAAGATCGTCCTGTTAGTACTGTTTCAGTAACACTGGAAGGAGGAAGTGAGACTGTTACAAGTAGTGAGACCTGATTGAGTTTTGATTATTTTTATTTATTTACTTATTTACTTTTAATAACTACTAAAGGAAGTAGATTGACTTTCATGCAGTTAGGGTAAAATTCTGCCCTTTGAAATGCATATATCCCATTTATCAATGGGAGCAGACATGCATCAAAGGGCAGAATTTGGCTTATTTTGTGATTGGCAGTACATGTGTATAAATCTTGTATATCTATAGAAGTCCTAATGTAGATTTCGTTACAGGTGCAGTATTTTTTTATTCTTTAGGTTTAGTCTGTGCATGAAACCCCTCAGTTATATACGTATTTTCAGTCTCTGTTCTTTGAAAAACAGTCAAAGCTACAGATTGTATGAACTTTCAATATTCATTTTTATTTACTTCAAAAATGTAACTGATTTGCTTTGTGATTGCTTTTCGGAGGGAAATGATGCATTGTAATCAATTTATTGTGTGCAATTTAAAATGTCAAGGACACTTTTGTTACTTAACTAGCAGCAATTTTTCTATATGGGATTTTGCTGTCTTTCTATTTATTTATTTATTTATTTTAAAAGATTTTCTAATATTGAAGTAAAACTATTTAAAGGACTTGTTTCTATGAGAATTCTGGTCGAGCATATCTTAATACAGTACATGCTTGTTATTGTCTTTTTTTTAATTAACACTCAATAAGACTTTAGGGGATAAGTAAGATAGATAGCAGAGACTCTATTTCTACTACTGTATTTTATAATAAAGGTTTTTTCTTTATGATTTTTTTCTGTGCTAAGATATGACACACAGGCAAATGTTTACTTGATTGTCTTGATAACTGACTGGGAAAGTTCTTTGGAGATATTAAATATTTGTTTGTAATAAAAGTGGCATCTGAGTGTATAGTTCAATTAGAATTTCTTAGTAACAAAATGTAGGAAGATGCAAATTGTTCCTATGTACACATTAATTTGATAAAATGAACTTTTTAAATTTTTGTTTCTGGAACTACATGTGGATTCTGTAGATACTTAGGCCAATCTTCACTGTTGGTTGAGTTTATTTAAAGAGCTTTTCAAGTCACCTTTGAACCCAAACGATTTCTCCAGATGTACAGAAGTGAACAATGTAAAAATCTTGCTGCTTCAGCAGAACAAGATCCAGCTGGCAGGGAACTGGATCTGCAAGTCATTGGTTACAGCTGTGTTTCGATTTATGTGATGGTTGAAAAAATAAATTACCAGATTAAATGGTTAGAAAGAGGACTCTTTGTTTAGCCCTTGTGTGGGGACTGAAAGTGTTTATGGTGCTGTTTTCTACACAGCCTTTGCAAAGTAAGCTGGACAAACAGACTTATTCAAAACTCCTCAGAAATGTTGCACATTCAGCTTTATATCATCACAGAAGAAACTGTATGTTTTTGTGTAATGCTGTCAACCAGCAACTGTTTTAAAGGTCTGTGGCCTCTGATGGTGGCAGTCACATTTCTGTCTTTTAGGCATTGTAGTTTATTATTAGAAGACAGTGTTCTTTAGTTTAATAGTTAAATGCTTTAAAATGGGTCTCTTAGCCTGCATACAAATACATGCAGGCCACTGTCAAATTCATAAATTGTTAAAAGGTTTATTATTCCAGTTTTGTAGATCACTTACCTTTCACTTTGCATAGTAATGCTGATGAAATTGTAAATCTGGCACGCAACAACTTAGAAAACTAGATACAATGAAATCAGAAATTAAATGCCAACAGTTTGGACTATTAAGTATTTTCTTTTAATGTTCTAACAATTTAGATGAATATGCTACTCAATGCAGGGATTAGGTTTTATTGCACTATAGCCCTGAGTCTGCAGAGACATACATGCTTGATTTTATGTACAGTGAGGATTCCCATTGACTTCAGTGAGAGTACTCATGCTTAAAGTTAACCACAAGTCTTTGTAGGATTGGGGAGGGAGGAAGAAGGGGTATGCTTTGCTAAGAACTATGCCCATTTTATGGTGCTATATTAGGGAGCAATCCCATGAGGCACTGGGAGCCCCCAACTGTCATCAAAGGTAATGTGAGTTGAGGGTGCTTAGCCTTTCACATGATTGGGCCTGATATTCTGGAGGTGACATCCTCACTCCATTGAAGTCAATGGGAGTTTTATCATTGACTTGAATGATGACAGGCTTTTACCCTTGGAGTCAGAGTCTGATGCCCTTACTCAGACTAACTAGTACCATATCCCACAAGTGATTCCACTCAAGTAAATGGAACTACTTGTGGAGTTAAAGTGCTACTTAGTGTGCATAAGAGTATCAGAATCTGGCCATTAATAATAATAAATTCAAAGCCTGCATCTGAAGACCAGATAAATGTAAGAAAAGATCAATAACATGCAACTTTCAGAGGTGAAAAAACAGGGAAGTAACTGTAAGATTTTAAAGCTTTAGCCAGCTTGTGGTATAGTAGTTTGCAAACCCAGAGACATTTTCAGTGCTTTGTATCTGTTTGTTCAGCATGATTTTCTAGCAATAATTTTAAGCAGACAATTTAGTTTCATTTTACAATTATAAAGCTGTCAGTGGCCATGGATTGATATCAGTTACATTATATCTATTAAGGCATATTTCTAAACAAATGCACAGATAAATATGGAATATGATGGTTGTAATTATGTCATAATTGTTATTCTATCAAGATTTAATTACTTTCTTAAATACGTTTTGCACAAATCTTTTTCAAAGAGCTGTCAGTATTCTTTATGAAATCCTACGCAATGCTGACAGTAAGGGGAACTAAATACCAGAACAAGAGTTCTGTTCCAAGTCAAAAATGAAATCAAATATGCTGGCCAAGTTCCACCATAAACCACCCTCAGAAATACCAGAAGCACACTTAAAATGTTTATAATAGAATATTTCCCCCTTCCCGATTTTCTTGTCCCCCAGCAGCATTTTACATTAAGAACCATGCGACAGAAAGTCGTGGTGATGCAGAATAAATAACCATAATGTATCAAAAGCAGACAAAGGTGTGATTGATCTGTCTGGAATTGGCAGACTCTTTCGCTGCATCAGGCTGTTTCTTTGATCAATGAAGGTATAGCCTCTGACCCTTACAAAAATCAATGCAATTGATTGAAAGGGAAGAGACAGGACTATGAGAATGCAAGATAGTCTTTAACCTTCACTGTCTAGAAAGTTTTAAATATTTTTGCGTGCATTTAACAGCTACAGTTTCCTATTTTCGTTTTTAAAAGATTTACATTTCCTCAGCCCAGTTTTGAAAACTCCTGTAACAAAGTTCTGGAAATAGTGTCACTTATTGTGAAGGTATGTCACAAAGGCATATCCTTTAAACAGCATCGTTCATGAAAGATACACACTGCTGTGCATCAGATTTTTTTGTATAAATTCTAGCCCTGATCTTGAGCAAACAGCCATGCAGATAGTCCAGTTAATTTCACTGGGAGTGCAGCCTAAGTAAAGTTGCTCAGGTATTTTGCAGGATCAGGCCCGCTGAATGTTGCAACTACAGGGTGAAATTCCGGCATGGGAAAGTGGGACCTCTGGCAAGAAACAGCGTCTTTAAACCCTTTCCTGAACGTCTGTCAATAGATACACAATATAGCTATCCAGGAATTAAAGAAAAGAGAAATTTCAGAAAATATATTTAGCTAATATTTTAAGACTATATGGGTCTCTGAATCTTATGGGATTAGCAGACTGTATCTCCAAATAAAGCCTATCAAAAAATTTAAACTCAAACTTTTGCCCCAGTGATCATGTGTTTTATTTACAGTCTGTGTTTTGTTTTACTCCCAGGCTATTTCTTCAGATTAGAGTAAAGCAGTATTATTATGAAATAATTAATAAAATCAGACTATAATGTGCTCTTCAATAGACAAAACAAACTAATTCACTCAGTGTTTCATGCTTTTGGACTTCTTGAAAATGAATATATATATAAAATCTGTCTCACTGGTTATTTTGTTTCACAAATAATTAAAAATGAAAAGATTTTTTTAAAAATTGAAAATATCAATAAAATCAAATGCCATTTAATATGGAAGAATATACTTTCAAACTAATTCAGACTGGAATAATTTGTGCTGTCACGTATATTAATTTTAATTAAGGACAGGTAAACTGAAAAGGCAGCAAAAGGAGGGTAAAGTAGTAGTTCCTAAGTATGAAGAATTCTTGCAAACTTGCACAGAAAGAGTTGGAAGGTCGCTATTTCTGTGTAAGTTACTATTTTTGTGATTTTTTTTTAATTCAGCTTCTGGTTGTACAGCTCCATTTTATGCAATTAAAATAAAATACATTATGCTTAAGTGAGAATTCTGATCACAGTGAGGGGAAACATTGTCAGTAAAAACAACATTAAGGGTGGGTGTGAGGGGTTTGAATCAAGGAAGCAACAGGATAGATTTTATATTTCCAGTTCATCTGGAATTTTTCTGAACTCTTTATCTCCTTGCTGTTCAACAGGAAGAGATTTCCTGAACAGCCATACAAAGGTATGACATACTGGTCACTCTCAGCCTTACTCTTAAACACTCACTCGAACAAAATGTAAAAGAGACACACTGAGAGGCTAAACCGTAAGCCTCCACTGCTACGAAACAACTCTGTGTTTTTATATCCCGCTTGAAGCGCACACAGATTATAACAATTAAAACCTAGACACCACAGTCACACATTTGATATCACTTACATTTCCCCTTCCTTTTTAGGAAGATATAGTCCAATTCCCCTGCAATAGTATCTCTTTCTTGTTGTCGTCCACCACCTCTTTCCTTTACATTGTGTGTGTACATATACATATTACACACACAGAAAAATCTCATTAATATTAAAAATCACATTTAATCTCATTGTCTAATCCTCCCTCCCCACTCCCAAAAAGATATCTCATACACGAAGGTACTTTGACATCTAACATCCATGTCCAGCCTCTCTGCTCATCTTTCCCTGCCCTCACCCCATAAGCAGTAGTTGCGGAGGCACCTCTTTTTTGTTTTTTTTTTGTTTTTTTGTTACTGCAACAATGGCTGCTGCACTCGTTTTGCTCTTTATATACAGACTGCATCTTTCCATTGTGGATGTGAATGCTGTCCCCTTGTGGATGATGCTCGCAGTCTAAAATGCTGCCTATGTTGTACTGCGAAGTAAAGCTGAGCAGTGTGTCTGTGTGCCCTTCCTCCGGTTGATTTTGGTGCCGAACGCATCACATTCCTTTTTATCCCTAAAGGACAGTAGCCAGCTTCTTCCTGTGTCTTGTGCCACTGTCGATAGAGCCCATCCCTGTAAGGATATGAACCTGAGGTCTTTTTCCCCCCAAGACGTTAGTGGCCGTGTTGTCTTCATGTCTAAATCAAGGTAGAAACAAAGTAATTCCTGGCTGAGGACTAAGTCCCTTGGATCCCCGTCAAAAGGCAACTGTACTAAGCACTGAATCATTTTCTAGAATGAATCTTACTAAAAAGAAATAGGCAATTTTTTCCGTTTCTACGAATGAAATCAGTTGAATCACTGAATCAGACAATTGATCCCCAATAACAATATGTTTTGTATAATGATATTGCAGAAAGTTTCCTTGAGCATGCTCCAAAAAATGTGATCTCATTTACAAGACGTAGCTCAAGAGTGCCATACCCATGCTCCTTCAGGTGTACTCCCCTGTAACAGCTTCCCTCGACTTCCTTGCCTAAACCTTTTGTATCGAGACAGCCATTGAGTGCTGCTATCCCATTCTCATGCCTCACCCCTACCCTCCTATCCAGCCCCAAAATATAGCGAGCACCAAAATGTGTTCTATTAACTATGTCAGCACCTTAAGGTATTGAGCATATTCTGTCAGATGACACTCGTAGAGCTATATGGACTTATGCTGCACATCCTGCTTCTCCAACTGAAAACAGACCTGCAATTAAAAGGTGTGGTTCTGGGTGGAAACAAAGGCAATGCATACAGAGATTGATGTTACTGTGAATGTAATGGGGATTATTTTATTACTTTGAGTGTGCTGGTGGGAATATAGCAGTTTTAAGTAATCTGGAGTTCTGGATTTGTTTTGGTTCCCCCCACCCAACGTGTTAAAACTTGAACAAGAAAGATATACGACTTTTGCTAAGATATTTTTGATATAAAGCTTTCTGATCTTTTCAGAATTTGCAAAAAGAAAAACTCGTTCCATTCATGGAATTTTTGTCTATAAGCAGGAAATGTTCATCGTAAAATGAGAGCTAAAAGACTCTGTTTCAGTGGCTGAGACTGACAGCTCTGTGTTTCTGCTGTTGCACGTGGGAGAAAACTGGATGCAAAATGTAAAAAGACAAGGGAGATTTTGTGCAACTCCAATATGCATATAAAGGTATCTTGAAATAAAAAACTTTTTAACAGCTATTCATGGACTAAAAATAGTTTATCCTAGAGGTTGCTTCACCAGAAATGTATGGTCCCTAACTAGGTTGTAGGGGCAAGAGTTCTATAATATTGGATTAGTAGCAAGGGGTGAACAGCTCCCATCTAATTCAACTAGTCCTCTCGTATTTGTAATCTCCAAGGAAACAGCTGAGTTGAATGTTAATTAAACAGCATTCTTTGATCCACCCAGCCACTCCCAGAGGCATAATAGTAATCATATATGGCAAATACATAATGGTATGTTTAAACGAATGCATCTAACCTTGCCATATTCACACTTAAAACATTTTTTTGCTGTCTCGCCTCCTTAACCCATACCATTTAAAGCCTAGGGAAAAAAGCTAAGTTAAACTTTGGTCCATCTGGAAGGCAGGGTGACAGGAAGCATAAATTCCTATTTAAGGCTGTATAAGGGTTAATGATTAGAAGAGTGGAATCAGGAAAGACCTTAAGCCCAGATCTATGACAGTGGTAATTGAGCTGATTGACTACGACATCTCATTTCAGACGACTATTGATTTAATTTAGTCTGTGTGCCCCTTGGTCCCAAAGGTGCTCCCAAGTGAAGCCTCAGCACTTGAACCTGGATACTTTCCCTACTCACCGTCTGGACATAAATTTACAAAATGTGCAGCCATTTAAAATTTTGACTCGTCCTCATGGTTTTACTCTAAAGTTTCTAATTTGAGCAGGTTAATGTTTTTAACTATTGAGGAGACAGAGGCAGAGTGTGAGAGATGGCACAGACAGAGGAGGAAAAACAAAAGATGTGGCTAGTATCTGCATCTGTTGTTTTTGAGTTGCAGAGCTAGCAAAGGCTTCTTTTTGGAGGCTGTCCACAAAGCTGGGCTATCAGGAGGCAGTTTGCTGTACACGAACGTTCAATTATTAAAATAGTAGATGTTTTCCCGCGTGTGATAGCCATAGCAAGGTCACGACATTAATTTATCCAGGGTATTGTGGGTAACTATACAGAAAAAAAGCATAAAGGGCACAGATGCTGGAGCAGCAAAAAATGGATGGGTCTGAGCAAATGGAGATTAAAAGGGGATGACCAATCTAATGTACGTATAGCAGTAAGAAGCTGGCATCCGTCACAGACTATTGATGACAATAAGTATTTTAAGCCATGTTGTGAATGAGTTAATTTTTTTTTAATACCTCAGTAAATGCTAAACTGAATGCTATAATCCGGTGGGTTTTTTTCAGTTTTCCAAATCTGATTTCAGTCTTGCTTTTGTTGTCTCATGCTTGGCGTTCTTTTCTCGCTTGCTTTCTCTGTCTGTGGGTGTGTGCCTCTCTTTGAGATTACAGACTTAACTGTTTCCTAATTGTCTACTTTTGGTTTATTAATAATGATTGGTCATGAGTTGGTGTACAAGCTGGGTTTAGATTTCGTACCATGATGTTTTTGCTTTCTGTAGTCTGGGGGTTTGTAGTGTTTTCTCTGGAACTTTTCTGCGAATGGATGCCCTTCACGTTTGCTGCCACAGTTATGTTGCCAAACTGCTACCTTAGTTGGTACTGCAGTGTTGCACTGCATGTTGGGATCTGTCCGTGTGGGTAAGCTGAGAATTTCTGCAGCACCAGACAGCTTTTAGAATTGGCTTGAGAATTGTGTGCTGCTCATCCCTCTTTTGTAAATAATTTTTATACTACAAATCACTGTGTAGTGGTATTGTCTGGTAAAATAATTGCTCATGTAAAAAGGAAACGCTAGTGAGTTTATTACGCTGTGTGTCATGAAAGTTCCTTGTTTTAAGAACAAAGGAACAAGGTAAAAACACACACCGAAACTCTGCTTTATGGATTTCATAGTCTATAATACAAATGTGCCTGCATTTCAGCTAACAAAGCTTTGTTTTATACTGCGTGTATAACTTACAGGTATTGTGCATATGTATAATACATACATTATACACTATACTATATATATATACACACACACACACACAGAGAATACTCTAGATAAACGACACAGAATATATAGATCAATATACATGCATTATGAGGTACTCTCATGTCCACTATTCTGTATATTGAGTAGTATATATTGCTTCTGTTCTCTCTTTCTCTCTCTCTCTCTCTCTCTCTCTCTCACACACACACACACACACACACACACACACACACACACACACACACACACACTATTTTGTATA